GAAGAGTATGCGACCCGAAGAGGACGCACCGCCGCAGCGGCCTTTCATGTAAAGTACGACGCAGCAATGTATTGCACAGGCGCTAGGCTAGGCCTGTTGAACGGGAAGTCATTCTTTCTAGTAATAGTACTCTCTGCGTACGCGCGTGTACGGGATAAACATGGCGAAGATCCACTGCCAAAAGCGACATCGGCGCGCCTGAGCTCGCGCTAGCATTATCGCACAACAAACAGGCGCGCACGTATATGGCACAGGCTATTGTCACATCGTACATTGCTCCCTTCCTTATACCGCCTAGCTTGCATCACACGAGCTTCCAGCCGAGTGGAAACTGTTTTCGCTCTGAAGTGAGCCGGAAAGGTTGCCACACTTGAAAAGGAATTGCAAGGAAAGTCGAAGTTAAAAAGAGTTTTAGTCAATTGTGAAGCGAATTGTGAAGTGGCTTGCCGTCATATGGTGAACTTGGCGGGCGACGAGTGGACAGTGTGGCTTTCCAAAACCGACCAGGGCTGAGTGGTATTGGCCAAACCAAGGTAAGAAGACATCCTGTTCTAACTTCGCTTGATATTTTACTGAAGACCTGCTTACGACTGGCAGCTTGACGTCACGTTTGGAGAAGCGACTTTCTTCGCAAATTATCGCCGATGTTGCAATACAACATTGGAGAGGTTCCGCATAACGTAATAGGGAGGTTTAGTCCCACGTAATCCGTGGGTACTTTACGTGGGTGCACCACGTGATACTCAGTGACCCACGTACAGACGTTTTCTGATTCACGACATACCGTGTATGGAGGCTCACCCACGTTCCGCCAGAACGTGGGTGAAAATCAGAATGGAGCGCATTGTGCGAGCTGTGAGGGTGCTCAGCTGAATAAGTTTCCGAAGCACGAAATCAAAATATTGGATGAGCTTCTTAGGCCGGGGTAGCTTCGTCTTTGACCAGGTTTTGGCCTTTCGCTTCATGCTTTTGTTTGTTCCGTGTGACTAAACACAACATTGCAACGTGGGTGCCCTTCATCCACTCTACGTGGATCACCCACGTACGCGTTTCCGTTACGTGGGAACTAAACCTCCCTAATTACGTTAGTAAAAAACGTAGTCGATCTACGGGAAGTCTTACGTAAACTGCATGCGGATCTGGGTTCCGCCATACGGAGTTTTCAAATCACGTAGCTGCCCTTGGCAACTCCGAACGCGGCAGTGTACGACCAGATCGACCTGGGGAGAGAGTCATAAATTTGTACCCCAATCCACTTACGGACCAGCTACGTTATCAGAGCTCTATCTACGTACTCTCCGTAGACAACTTTCCGTAAGTGGAGTGCAAACTCGCGAATTCACGGGGTTTTCCTGCCCACTAACGTAAAGTTGCTCAGCTTTACGTAGTGCGGAACCTCTCTAATGTTGGGCTGAAAAGGCTGAAAGGGGTACAGTTTTCAGGCTGGTGGTTAGCCGGTGTATCCAGACAGGTATCGCCTATAGACGACATGCCCTGTACTGAGGCTGTAGTCTCGTCTCGTTGTCTACATCCATGATCTCACGCACTGCAAGGACACTGGTCATTCATGCGTACAGTAGTAGCGCTCAGTGAAATCCAATCCATACTGGTGAGGTCATAGGGCGTATTTAGCGCCCACAGCTTGCATAGTATTTTTTTCATTCATATTTCTCTAGGGCAGTCCCCACAGTACACAGACCTGTGGTCTCCTTACGAGTTGCATGGCCATTGACACCCTGGAAGTGGCACGACTGCAGCTGGACATACACACCAGGGAGTCGTAAAATACCGGCAGTAACTAGACTCCCTGGTTTTTCCACATTATTCGAAAAAATAATGGAAAGATGTGGATGCAAAACTCGATTTTTAGGAGGAATGATGTTTTGCTCAAAAATGGTTAGATTTGAAAAAAATCTAAAAATATTCAAAAAATCACCCAATGTGCGAAAATTATTCACCCGTTGCCATGGCGAAAATATTTTTTTCCCTCATACACACATACTAATGCCGTGATGGTATTACACAGAAGCCTTGCTTGCTAGTTTAACATGTTTTCGTTTTCGACAGCATGTTACAAGGCCGTTTTATTTATTTATTTATGGATTCCCCAAAGGCCGAGGCCTAAGTCAAGGGGGTCTGCGTTCATGGCTTACTGGGAATATATCTGCAAAATTATAACATTATAGATTGAGAAGAGGAAGGGTTATAACAAATGCGTACTGTAGAAATCAGCCATAACATTCGTTACTATGTTATAGAAACTCTGGAAGGAATGAAACCAGTGGGTTCAAAGCGGGTGTTGGCAAAGATGGTACGGACACGAGACACAAAGCAATGACTATGTTGGGTGGTTCTAATGTCAGTGGGGAGAGAATTCCAGGTGACAGCGGTAACAAAGAGGAAAGTGGCACGCGAGTAGGTGTTCGCCCTGGCAGTCGGGACAAGTTGGAGAGGGCGCCGCGCGCTGGTGGAGAGACTATAGCCCAGCTCCAAAAGGGCAGTGGTCTGGTGGTGGACCAGGTGATGGAGCTCCCGCAGGCACTGGATGTGTCGCCGCCCAAGGCGAGGACGCACAGCGCTCCTGACTACACCCATAACCTGGTTGGCAGAGTCCCGGTCTTGCGACCATTTGAACCGTCAACAACAACACCACCATCACCAACGACAACAGCAAAACTCTTATTGGCGATGGGGCCATCGTGAGAATAAAGAATTCAACAAAAAAACTTCAGCAAAAAAGATAAAATTCCAAATTCAACCACCCCCTAGATTAAAGACCGTTGGAACCGGGGTTTTCCCCATACGGTTCAAATGGTCACAAGACCAGGACTCTGCCAACCGGGTTATGGTTGAACTTGTCAGGGTCGGCGCCACTGGTACGGCCGGTATGGCCATGGCTGTACCAACAAAACAAAAAAAGTGGGCGTGGAACGTCCAAAACTGGGGAGAAAAAGTTTCGATGTATGATTTTGCACAGGGAGTCGCCCAGAGTGCAGGATTTGCCGTATAAATTCCAAAAAATTCTGGGGGATGACCCCCAGACCCCCTTAAAGATGGCCCTTCGGCCGCACCGCTCCGCGGAAGCTGCCTCCGGCCCTGCTTGTACTCAGGAGCACTGTGCATCCTCTCCTTGTAACATGCTGTCGAAAACGAAAACATGTCAATACAGTGGCGTAATCAGAACAGGCCCAAGAGCCAGGGCTAGGCATTGGCGGATTCTGCTCGAAAAGGTGGCAGATTCTGCTCGAAAAGCAGTGAAACTGGCAGAACCATACAAACCTTATGGCGGGCCATTCCTCGAATTCTGCTCCATTTCTTCATCCACATACCAAACATGCATGAAACGTACCAGAAAAAGTACCGAATTCTGCCAATTTCTCTGCCGGCATTCTCCGCAAAGGCCTAACCAGGGCGCCAGTTTTGATTTCACCAAGCCCAACAACTGTACAATCCCGTACACTTACAGTAAAAGCCTGTTATCAACTACTTGCTCAATGTTGCACAGCTGGCTCACAATACTGGGGAGGGGGGATCTGCAACTACATATGGGCCTCAACCAGCGAAAACAGCCCTTAGGGTCAAATTTTCAAAATTCCTTTTTTGGTTAGAAATTTGTTGAAACACATCTACTGAAGGACCTCAGCCAAGAAAAAGTTCAATATTCCGATTCAAAACGGGTGTATACACAAATATACAAGGTGTACTCCAAATTGGTGCAATGTATGTATACGATGTATCTGCACAATAAATATTCAGCATTCTAAGGTGGGTAGGCAGCTTGAATACCTTTGAAATAGCCTGTGCAGTAAGCAGCTAGAATGCCAAAGAATAGCTGAAGAGTGCGGAGACATGATCGACTTATTTGCAGCTGCATCCTGCGTGGAGTCGTTCCGCAATGTCTTCCATTTCTTCCTCCGCAGCTGACGACACGACGTCGCTGCCGTCACTAGCCCCAGACTCAGAATTTATCTCAGGTGATGACTCCTCATCTTCCGACTCTGACGAGTCATCGACCACCTTGAGCCGCAACACAGCAGGAGATGACGGCTGCGATTCCGCCTCGCTGTCGACATCGATGTCGGAACCAAAGAACGTCTCATCCTCACTCTGAACTTCAGCGGCTACTTCAGCATCCACTCCCCACCAGGCTCGAGCTAGCTGTACACAATGACTGCCGTGTGCGCTCTGCGAGCAGCTCTGGCGTCCGCAGCCATCGCAACAAGATCAAGGAACACTCGAGTCACCACTCGACACCACTTCAACTAACTAACTTCAAATAAATTCAAGCAAGGAGTTCAAGAAGAGCTCGTCGCGATCAGAAAATCGTTGAACGTCACAAATCGACCTTTTTCTTGAAAAAATTACGAAACCTCTAAGGGTCGTTTTCGCTGATTGCGGCTCATATAATGGCCACTCCTTCGGGCCAAAAAGAGGTCTTTAGGGTGGCAGGTGGTCTTTAATTAACAGGAGGTTTGGCACTGGGTGACCATATACAGGTATGGACCCCATCATCTTTTATCTGGCATTGCATAACAAAATGGAGCTACGGTCAGACCTCACTTAACCACACGCACCCGTTTTCCACAAAATAAATCCGGAAAGACGAGAGAACCCGATAGTCACACACGCACGCACACACGCACCCACACACACACACACACACACACACACACACACACACACACACACACACACACACACACACACACACACACACACACACACACACACACACACACACACACACACACACACACACACACACACACACACACACACACACACACACACACTGTATGTACATGTACGCATGGCATATGCTGTAAATCAGTAACCGACGATTTCCGTCCGGATGGCGAGCGATCCGGATAAAAGAGGACCAGCTGAGCAAGGCCTGAGTGTACTGCAGTTTCTAATCACATACACATTCCGAACTACCCAACGCTGTAGACAGCAGCATGCTTCGGCCATCTTGGCCTGATCGGTACAGGTACGTCAGGATGAGCTTTAAATGTATTTTAAATAAGAAAATACTTCAAGCAATAAGATGGCTCGTCGCTCCAACGCCAGAACTCTCAAACTACGAAAAGTGGCGAGCGGCGCATCATGCAGCAGCACTAAAGCATCCAGCCAAGAGTGCTAACAAGACGACTACAGTATCAAGGAGCTTACTACCCGATGCTGCAGGTAGCTAGCTGATGTACTTCAAACTATCAAGATCATCCCCTTGTACATTGTTCTTACAACGGATGACTGGCCCGAAACGTCAATAATTTTTCAACATCATTAATTTAAAAAAAAAATTGTTATCTAAAGAGTGAATAGCAACTAAATAGAGCGGTTGTCAGTTGACAAACCCCCTTTTATTTATCAAGATCATGTCGACGAAATCAGCCTAGTAGGCACGTAGTCTGAGGGGGTTCGGAAAGTGCAGACCAACATCCCACATATTGCACCCTATGCCTTGAAAATACGGTAAAACCTGTAACTAAAGACCACCGTGACTATGCCACAAGCACGCACCAGGAAGAAGAAACAGAAATGTAAAGCAAAGCTAGATATCACCGTGTCGTGCACACTCGCTCTGTTCCATTTTCATAAGAAAATTTACCGGGTGCTCAGTAACAGCCGCCACGAGCTCCCCGGAAGCGGACACAATTGTGTACTGTTAAATTCAGAGTATCGGTATTGTTATGATGTGGTGTTGTGTGTTGTTGGCAGGTGACAGCACAGGCAGTGGTGTTTGTTGATGGGGCTATGGCATCGACATTCCAGATGCGTGCGTGCATTGCCTTTGTCATCGCTTTCGTACTGCTCCCGGTTGGAGCGCAAGATAGTGAGTTGAGCGCCTGCTCACGTTTAGTCTGTTCCCTATTCAAACAATCTGTTTCACAACAAAACCAGTCAGTTTTCTTATAGAACCAGTCTGTTTCTCTATAAAAACCAGTCAGTTTCCCTATAAAGCCAGTCTGTTTCCCTTTAAATCAGTCTGTTTCCATGAAAAGATTTGTTAGTATCAAGTCCTGCTCCCTGTTGTGTGGTTCGGCTACCTACTGCTGTATGAGACAGACAGACAGACACACACACACACAAACACACACACACACACACACACACACACACACAGACAGACACACATACAGACAGACAGACAGACAGACAGACAGACACACAGACACACAGACACACAGACAGACAGACATGACGGACACACAGACACACAGACACACGAACAGACAGACACACAGGCAGAATGACAGAACGACAGACCGACAGGCAGGCAGGCAGGCACACAGGCAGACATACAGACAGATGAGGGGCGGATCCCGGGGGGGGGGGGGGGTGACCACTAACCCATGCGACGTGCGCGCCCCATGCTATGGCCCAGTTGACCCAGGCCAGAGCGGTCCGTTAGCTATGCAGCTTGTACATTATGGTTGTCTTGTACTTACTAGTAGATAATTATTATTATACGCATTCCCGTGGCAGCGTCAACCAAGCAGTTATGCTTGACCCACACGTTCGCTTATGCTGGACATTGAAACAAAGCAGATGTAGACAGCTCCTAGAGAATGGGGCTCTACAAAACCAATGAAAATAGTACTTCAGTAACATCATCCGGGAGCGTCATAAAATTGGTCTCGTTGGGAAAAATGTCATCACTATTGTCTCCTCATGTAGCATCATGGTCAACGGGTGGCCAGATAATGTCTTCTACTTACTAGTAGATAATACACAGTAAAGAGGTAGATCTGCACTGAATCATGTGAATGTACAGCTAGCAGCTAGCGTTCGCTTCGGAGAAAGAGGTGCGCAAGCATGCGCAAGCATTTGCTGAGCTGCCTATTTGTTGCGCTGCTCGAAGCGTCTAAAAGAGGCAGGCTCAAGACCAGCTGCCATTGTATTTTGGTGACACTTCAAAGAAAAGTGTAGCCACTAGTGTCGAAGGTAAAACAACGAGCGAGACTTTGAAAATCACCTTCGAGTTCAACGTCCCATCATCCAATAATCAAAATTTCTCCGAACTGGGGACAATTATGACTGAGACACGAAAGATGCAGGAAGCCTGCCTTATGGAACCTACTGTACAGTGGAGTCAACATCGGGCGGCTCGGAGTACAATATTACGGACAATTATTGCAGACGAGCTGCTGGAGAAAGTACCAATCAGCTATTCTGCGGCAAAGAAATTGAAAATTTCTTCCTTGTGCTGCGTGTCTTCAATAATGTTTTAGCTGCAGAGTGTTGAAAATAGGGGTACTGAATTTTCATTTGTATAGCAGCTGGCATGTTCAAGTACAGGATGCAGTACATGTAGGCTGTCCCGATAACGCAAACATGTGAACTACTTGTTATACATGCTTTTGTATGTCATCATTTCGTCATTGTGGGTAGGGTGGGAAAGAATTGACCCCCCCCCCCTTTGGAAAAATCCTTGATCCGCCCCTGCAGATGTTTCAAGCTTTAAAAAATATCCAAACAATGGTGTAACAGCACTAATGAATGAGAGAGATAGAGAGAGAGTTGAACCATTATCTGTTAAAACGAAGTACGTAAAAAGCGACTGTCTTCAGTCGGATCCAACAAGTTCCTGAGGGGGAGGGTTGCAGGAACATTCCACTTGAGTCTTTTGAGTAGCACTGAAATATTACTGTGTTTGCTGTCTGTCCTCAGCTGCACCTAAACTCCTGCAGGCCAACACGACACTGCGCCTAAGTCGGCTACCGGGCGAAAGTGTTCGGCTTTCCGTGTCTCTACTCAACTCACCCTCACCGCCAGCAAAAGTCTCCTGGACACACTGGGATAAGCCAATCAATATCGGCGATGCCAGGCTAGAGCTGTCCAGCGATGGCTTGGTTCTGAGCGTCAACGATTTGACATACGTTGATGAAGGTTGGTACAAGGTCACCTTGACCAACACTCAGGGAGCGGATTCTGTCAAAATCTATCTGAAAATAAGTAAGTCCTCGCTCATTTTGTTGTGAAGTGAAGAATGTTTCTAAGATTTTTGTGTTGCATTTCTCGCCAAAGTACCTTGCACTGGTCTCCAAACTCTTTGATATCCTCAACGAAGGAATCTCACCCCCTCTTGTCTCTCTTTCCATTTCTCTCTTTATCTCTATTTATACTTCTATCTCTACTTCTCTCTCTCTCTCTCTCTATCCTTCTCTCTCTCTCTCTCTCTCTCTCTCTCTCTCTCTCTCTCTCTCTCTCTCTCTCTCTCTCTCTCTCTCTCTCTCTCTCTCTCTCTCTCTCTCTCTCTCTCTCTCTCTCTCTCTCTCTCTCTCTCTCTCTCTCTCTCTCTCTCTCTCTCTCTCTCTCTCTCTCTCTCTCTATTTCCGTGGGTGCATACATGCATGTGTGTGCATTTGTGTGTCTGTGTTTGTGTATTTGTATTAAATGTTGTGTGTGTCTGTTTTTAAGTGCCGGTGTGCGTAGGTTTGTGCATGCGTGTGTATGTGCTTGTTCAGTATGTGCGTACAGCATGTGCATGTGTGCGTGTGTGTGTGCACGTGTGCGTGTGTGCACGTGTGTGTGTTTGCGTGTGCATGCTCATGTGTGTGTGTGAGCACGCATATGCACATTTCTACACACACTTGAGAGGAATCAAAAGCGTTCCTGCTGTAGCTCTGAGTTTCACGGTTTCAACCGATCATCAGATCGCAACTGAGCTCTATATAGCAGGAAATTTTCGGACGGAATTTATTTTCGTACGATTTCGTACACGGCCTCTTTTGTACTAAAATTAATTCCGAACTAAAATTTGTTGATGTTAAATAATGTACACTCTACGCCTCGTGCGTGGGTACTGCAGTACTGCTTGCGAACATGTGCATTTAGCATAGGCCTCGACCAAATATGCTAAAAAAAAGAGCATATTATGCTCGTCGAATACCAGGGAAAACGGTCATAATATGCCTAAGGCTAAGCAAGATATGCAAAAAGATATGCCAAACTGATATGCTCGACATAAGCAGAAAGTGTAGATCATTTCAGTAAAATTACAACCTTGGAATATTCATTGGCTTCATGGCTATCATGCTTATGGTGCAAATCAAAACACATGCAGAATAGTATGGCTGGGGTGTGCCCCAGCAACCGTAGCGATAGTGTTCATCCATGGGGAAATGTAGCAAACGCCTCAACCATTCCAAATTCATCCATAAAAGGCATTTCTGAACGCATTTTGTCCATAATATGAATGTTTTGTCCTCATTTTCTTCAGAATATTATGCTGGCTTCATTCCAATATTCCCTTTGTCGCTCAATATGCCATATATGAACTGTCTCACGAAAAATGCGGACATACGCGCAAGCATATTTGGTCGAGGCCTAATTTAGCATGCAGCACTGTACGAAAATAAAACCTGTACGAAAGGTCGCAATTCGGCTTTGTCCGGAAATATTTCCGTCCGAAAATCTCCTGCTGCTATACAGTATGCACTTAAAGCCTATCTCGAACAAACAAAAAAATTGAATACAATCCTGATTTTTAAGATGCGCTGTCGTGGCACATAAGCCTGGGTTTAGTGTTGACACACATAGAAATACCTGGTTTAAATAGAAGCCTAGCCCTGACGTCGGCTTCTACAGGAATAAAAAAATTTTAATTCACGGTGTAATGGGTAGCCGAGTGGTAGGCGCGGTGAAATCAACAAGAATTACTTTTATTCTACTTCTTTCAGGTACACACCTGAAATATAATTGTAAGGGAAAGAAGAAGCGGCAAAATAACTGACTTTCTCTCCGGTGCACACCTGGAGGTCGAATAGCTCGTTATTATCAAAATCTCATCTTAACAGAAATGCGCAGCAGCTTTTATGCAGCAGACGCCGTACGCTTAAATACGGAGATACACTAACTATACATCAGGCAGAGCTCCATATTAGTTCCGTACTACTTCCGTATTGGTCGGGCAGGGATACTACACCCTCCCTTCCTACAGATTATCACGCCCTCGTGATTTTCAAAAACAATTAGTGAAGAGTTACGAACACAGCGTCAACCGGAAGATGGCAAATTATATCGGAAATGAAAACGTTTAGAGTAGACAGAAGAAATGAACTGATAACAAATCATAAAGTAGAAGCACACCAGGTTCACACGATCTCTCGGGGTCAAAAGGGGAAAGAACTGGCCTCCAAATAGGACCTGAAAAACTACAGCACTCTTGCTGCACAACGCTGGCACAACCCGCCAGGAACATCGCAGTTCAAAAACCGAACTGAATACACTATAACTATAAGGGGCGTTGTCACACACATTGTCCCACGTTAGCTGGGTAAGCCGTGGCTCACCATGATCAGACGCCTACCAAACTAAACTGGATTCACACACTCGCATAAAGGAAGACTGAAGAGAACAGGGAGACTGAAGGAAGACAGGAAAGAAAATGCCATACCTGGAATCAGCGTTAGTAACCACGGCGGCGGCTGGAGCTATGGTGGATGTATAGTTAGTGTATCTCCGTATTTAAGCGTACGGCGTCTGCTGCATAAAAGCTGCTGCGCATTTCTGTTAAGATGAGATTTTGATAATAACGAGCTATTCGACCTCCAGGTGTGCACCGGAGAGAAAGTCAGTTATTTTGCCGCTTCTTCTTTCCCTTACAATTATATTTCAGGTGTGTACCTGAAAGAAGTAGAATAAAAGTAATTCAATGAATATAGCTAAATGCGCACTCATATCACAACCATGGGGACGAATCATGTACATGTATTCCAGAGCGTTTTCTTGTCACAATTATCAATGGAATTCGTGACTAAAGAGAATGATGAAACTACAATAGGATTTATACACTTGGAGTGGAACAGCGAGGATACAAGCATAGTAAGAAAAATAGCACAAACCTAGGAACAATGTGCACAGGTAATAAACTATAGGTGAGGTGAGAAATGATAGGAAATTCAGCAAGTGCAGTGTGACAATGGACACTCACACACACTTGCACATGCATGTCCATTGTCACACTGCACTTGCTGAATTTCCTATCATTTCTCACCTCACCTATAGTTTATTACCTGTGCACATTGTTCCTAGGTTTGTGCTATTTTTCTTACTATGCTTGTATCCTCGCTGTTCCACTCCAAGTGTATAAATCCTATTGTAGTTTCATCATTCTCTTTAGTCACGAATTCCATTGATAATTGTGACAAGAAAACGCTCTGGAATACATGTACATGATTCGTCCCCATGGTTGTGATATGAGTGCGCATTTAGTTATATACATTGCATTATTAAGATTATTGTCTCCACGTCGCCTTTTTACATAAAAGTAATTCTTGTTGATTTCACCGCGCCTACCACTCGGCTACCCATCACCAGTCTCTCCGGAGGCGTGGGTTCGAATCCCACCGCTGCCACCAATGTAATGGGTAGCCGAGTGGTAGGCGCGGTGAAATCAACAAGAATTACTTTTATTCTACTTCTTTCAGGTACACACCTGAAATATAATTGTAAGGGAAAGAAGAAGCGGCAAAATAACTGACTTTCTCTCCGGTGCACACCTGGAGGTCGAATAGCTCGTTATTATCAAAATCTCATCTTAAAGGGGAACTGTCACCAAAAAATTTCTTTGTCTTATCTTGTAGTTCCTTGGCTCCTGATCACGATGGTGGTATCCGTTTTTCTCTGCGATGGCTGGAAGTGGGTGAAAACTTGAAAAGAAGGTGCCCAAAATTGTCCCGAAGTACCGAGTGACGTCACGCCGGACTTGACCTCCACGCGTACATTCGTCGTCAAAAACGAAATCCAGCCCGTGTGCTCGTCGATCGAGCTAGCTGTTCCAATGTACGGTGCACGTGTGCCTTTTGAACTGTAACACAGATGGGTACGTCGTACCGAAGGAGAATGCCAAAGAGGCAGAGACCCACGTGCAGCTACACAGCCAAATCAAAATAAAAAGCAGCTGAGCTTTCACCTTTTTGACTTCTTCCGCGAGGTTTTATTTTGTGAGCACGGAAGTACGTCGTTGTTTTGAACTTTTCGTGTGAGGAACAACACGATGATGAGTGCGTATGCAGAAAACAGTACTCCTCCGGCCGGCGATAACACCACCAACCCGAGCCCCAAAGGAACGCAATGTAGTTACGTGAAGGCGATTCATCTGGCAATGTTGCTCAAGATGCAGATGACGAACTCCGACGTCTTTCATTTCAGAGCCGGGTGGGCAACATAGCCACCTTCGATACAACGACATCATTTTCAAGTACGAGGTATGTGTGTCACACTAACAGCAAACAAACATCCTTCCACTCCTTCGTAATCACAAAATTAGTAAAACAAAGAGCTGGAGCTTCGTGGAGGAAGTACCAGTGCGACAAACTGCAGTCGACTTTTGTTTATTTTGTCCCTTTTTGGCGTTCTCATTGTGTACAAAGTACACATCGAGTGTCCGAGTTCAGAAGGCAAGCGTGCACCGTACATCGAACAGTTGGCTCGATCGACGAGCACACGGGCTGGACTTCGTTTTTGACGATGAAAGTACGCGTGGAGGTCAAGTCCGGCGTGACGTCACTCGGTACTTCGGGACAATTTTGGGCACCTTCTTTTCAAGTTTTCACCCACTTCCAGTCATCGCAGAGAAAAACGAATAACACCATCGTGATCAGGAGCCAAAGAGCTACAAGATAAGACAAAGAAATTTTTTGGTGACAGTTCCCCTTTAACAGAAATGCGCAGCAGCTTTTATGCAGCAGACGCCGTACGCTTAAATACGGAGATACACTAACTATACATCAGGCAGAGCTCCATATTAGTTCCGTACTACTTCCGTATTGGTCGGGCAGGGATACTACAACGGTTCGCGTGAGACTCGGCTGGAAACCGAGTTTTCCGCATCCGTAGGAACGCCACCACCCTTCAAGGAGCAAGGCGCAGATGCAGCTCCTAAATCGGCGGGAGGTGAGTAGATCAGACCCCGGGCAGCAAGTGGTCAAAGACCGAAAATCCCATTCACTGCATTCACACAGGAATAAGCCCGGGTTTAATACGCAGGATTACAGCATGTGTATGAATGTGCTCACCACACCCATTCAGGCTACCTACATAGCAACCTTATAGGGTACCTCACTTCAAACTCTCCAACTACGGTCTCTTCGCTGCATACGTTCACTTCACTTCCAAAAAATATAAATAATATTAGATACAAATGGAATGCAATGGGTGCATTCCATTTGTATCTAATATTATTTATATTTTTTGGAAGTGAAGTGAACGTATGCAGCGAAGAGACCGTAGTTGGAGAGTTTGAAGTGAGGTACCCTATAATGTGTGAATGGCTGCAATGGAGTCTGAGAGTGCTTAGAAAAGTTTACATAGCAACCTTTAAAAGAAAGGACCAAATTGTTACATGTTATCCGTAGTTTCTGTCCAACGCTGACTGTTATAATCAAGATGTTGTGTAGTCAGAAGGTGCAACAGCTAGCACAATACTCACTGATGCGATACTGACATTCAACGACCTGATGACAAGCTCTATCATGTCTTGGACGCGCAAACCAACAGATAACGGATAGCAAGTAACATTTGTTGGTCCTTTCTTCTAAATTTAATACTGTAAATGTACTAATTTTCGGCAGCTATTTAATTTCGGCTATATTCGGCACCGACCCCAAACGCCTAAATTAAAACGCCGATGAAATTTTTCACAGCATCTGTCGCACGACACCATGCCCTCTACCCCACGCCGAAAATAAATCGCCGCCGGAATGTCAAAAATCGTGAAGTGCCGAAATTTTGCAGCGCCGAAATTTTGTATATAATTATACAGTATTCGGCTCTCCATCCGAGCGTTACTTACATAGCAATCGGTGTGATTTTCGCTGTGTCTGTTTGTGTGCTTGCTTGCTTGGCGCACATGTTAAGTTGTTGCGTTTCGCCCGACGCTCCTGCACGGTGGAGGGACGGTGACCTACCCAGTGCACACAAACCCGAGCTCCATCATGGCGGATGTGTGCTCTCTGGATACGGCTGCACCGCTGCTCTCTAGTCGCGATTACCTGGTGTGGAGCTGGGTCGGAGTAGGAAATGTTGGCGTACCGCTCAACGTCAGGAAAGGCCGCACACTGCCGTTGCGTTTTCCGTACAGCCTCCGCTCTGAATCCACGAGAAGCGGCGCGTACAACTTCACGTGCAAGTGGGTGTATACAATAGCGCCGTGGCGAGTCTATGGAAATGTTGCGGCACGTGAGACAGTGCAGGTTCGCTTCGTAGGTGAGTGCGATGTTATGTTGTCATGTTATGTCATGCTATGTTTTGTTACACTATGTCAATAGAAGAAATCACATGAGAACGAGTTATGCAGCAACTAGCGACCACCCCTGCCCGTACACTTAAGTAGTCATTAACCCCTAGGCTCTGCCCACCCAATTCTTCCTCACTCTTCCTCCTTTCTTACACTATTATCTCTTATTGGCCACTGACTATCGTGAGAATAAAAGATTTGAAACTATCCACGACTGTAACAAGATAATGAAGAGCCAGAACGTGCGATAATGGGCACAAAACTGACAGGCTACTGTGACATTCAGCGACCTGGGACCTAGCTCTAACACATCTCCAGTGCGCAAACCAACAGCCTTCCAACTTGGAAGGTTCATGGTTACGTATGACCGAAGAGGGGAATGTGTTCTCTTCTCTTTTTTACATCTATTACTGGCTCAGTATCCGAGTAAAAATTATGTTAGGGGTCGTCCATAAATATCGAACTTTTTTTCACAAAACGAAATAATTTCGTTATGGGGTGGGAGGGGGTTGACCAATTTCGTTTCAGAAAACATTGATTCATGTACATGTCCGTTGTATATGCATGTATGTCAACATTTTTTACGTTCTGATGGGGAGGGAGGGAGGGGTTGGGTCTAAACTAAAATAATTCGTTTGGTGAAAAAAGTTCGATATTTACGGACGGCCCCTGATGTGATGTCATCTTTTTCATTTATTTATTTTTTTACAATGATCACAGTACACAGGCACAGACAAAAATTGTATGGTGGGAGCATAGTGATGGTAAGGCTTCTTGCCCTCAGCCAACCTCTTTATAATAATTCACCATAATGTACAGGCATCGCTGCCTTCTTGCTGTGGATCGTGCATGATGCCACAGATGTGATAAAGATGCGACATGCAATTTGTGTCGTCTTGTGTTCATTGCAACCCGAATGATCTGTGCGTTGTAGTCCAATCAGGATACAGTGGATGATTGCTGTAGAACAGGGGGTGGGGAGAGGGTGGCGTTGTGGAGTTACAAACAAACATGCTTCTGACGACAAGCACCGGGGCACCGGAACACTTCTTTTACAGGACTTCTAGCCTTGCATTTTCCGCAATACTAGCTGTACAGGGCTTAAGGTCCAGACCCAATCGTGGGTCTAAATATATTTGATATTTGATATTTTTGACGTGTCTTACCAAGAGAAGTGAGCTAAAGCAAATGGACTGCGGTAGAATAGGAGTGCAGGTGTGAACTGTCAGAGATATGGTGAGGGGTGGAGAGCCACCCTGATGATGCCGTATCTGGGAGAGAGAGAGAGAGAGAGACAGAGAGAGACAGAGAGAGACAGAGAGACGGACGGACGGACGGGTGGACGGACGGACGAACGGATGGACGGACGGACGGACAGACACACTGACAGACAGGAAGGGAGAGAGAGACATACAGACAGATGAATGGACGGACGGACAGACAGAGACAGAAAGACTGGCACATAGACAGAGAAAGAGACGGAGACGGAGGCATAGGCAGAGACACAGATATAGAAACAGACGCATACAGGGACCCAGAAAACAGACAGATAGAGAGAGGGAAAGACAGACAGACAGACAGACAGACAGACAGACAGACACACAGACAGACAGACAGACAGACAGACAGACAGACAGACAGACAGACAGACAGACAGACAGACAGACAGACAGACAGACTGACTGACTGACTGACTGACTGACAGACTGATAGGCCGAGAGAGACAGAAGGAGACATAGAAAGACAGAGTGAGGGACACATCAAGACAGAGGCAGACCTAGTAGATAGCCATCTCAGGCTTTAATCCTCGTTGGTTTGGTATTATTTTGCTTTTCTCGCAGTTCACTTCCCTGGCTATTAAGTATTAACCTTGAAATTTGAGTTTCTCGCATACCATGATGGCCGATCACAGTTATTATTTTAACCCTTGCTTCCTTTCCTGTCGTAAGACGCATGCGGTCCACACGGTGTGTATGTGTGCTGTGCCGGCAGCCACTATCTCGTCCCATTCATCCTCCTATCCGTTGGCGCGAGTGAATGTTGTAATTACCGGCAGCAACTCACTGTGGCGGGTAGTCATGGCAAGCTGTACGCATACTCGCACCGCCCCTGTCTTCTGCTCCTCTGTGTGCATACATGAACGACTAACTTACAATCCATGTTACAGAATCGCACCGCCCCTGTCTTCTGCTCCTCTGTGTGCATACATGAACGACTAACTTACAATCCGTGTTACAGAATCGCACCGCCCCTGTCTTCTGCTCCTCTGTGTGCATACATGAACGACTAACTTACAATCCGTGTTACAGAATCGCACCGCTCCTGTCTTCTGCTCCTCTGTGTGTGCATACATGAACGACTAACTTACAATCCGTGTTACAGAATCGCACCGCCCCTGTCTTCTGCTCCTCTGTGTGCATACATTAACGACTAACTTACAATCCGTGTTACAGAATCGCACCGCCCCTGTCTTCTGCTCCTCTGTGTGCATACATTAACGACTAACTTACAATCCGTGTTACAGAATCGCACCGCCCCTGTCTTCTGCTCCTCTGTGTGCATACATTAACGACTAACTTACAATCCGTGTTACAGAATCGCACCGCCCCTGTCTTCTGCTCCTCTGTGTGCATACATTAACGACTAACTTACAATCCGTGTTACAGAATCGCACCGCTCCTGTCTTCTGCTCCTCTGTGTGCATACATTAACGACTAACTTACAATCCGTGTTACAGAATCGCACCGCCCCTGTCTTCTGCTCCTCTGTGTGCATACATTAACGACTAACTTACAATCCGTGTTACAGAATCGCACCGCCCCTGTCTTCTGCTCCTCTGTGTGCATACATTAACGACTAACTTACAATCCGTGTTACAGAATCGCACCGCCCCTGTCTTCTGCTCCTCTGTGTGCATACATTAACGACTAACTTACAATCCGTGTTACAGAATCGCACCGCCCCTGTCTTCTGCTCCTCTGTGTGCATACATTAACGACTAACTTACAATCCGTGTTACAGAATCGCACCGCTCCTGTCTTCTGCTCCTCTGTGTGCATACATTAACGACTAACTTACAATCCGTGTTACAGAATCGCACCGCCCCTGTCTTCTGCTCCTCTGTGTGCATACATTAACGACTAACTTACAATCCGTGTTACAGAATCGCACCGCCCCTGTCTTCTGCTCCTCTGTGTGCATACATTAACGACTAACTTACAATCCGTGTTACAGAATCGCACCGCCCCTGTCTTCTGCTCCTCTGTGTGCATACATTAACGACTAACTTACAATCCGTGTTACAGAATCGCACCGCCCCTGTCTTCTGCTCCTCTGTGTGCATACATTAACGACTAACTTACAATCCGTGTTACAGAATCGCACCGCTCCTGTCTTCTGCTCCTCTGTGTGCATACATTAACGACTAACTTACAATCCGTGTTACAGAATCGCACCGCCCCTGTCTTCTGCTCCTCTGTGTGCATACATTAACGACTAACTTACAATCCGTGTTACAGAATCGCACCGCCCCTGTCTTCTGCTCCTCTGTGTGCATACATTAACGACTAACTTACAATCCGTGTTACAGAATCGCACCGCTCCTGTCTTCTGCTCCTCTGTGTGCATACATTAACGACTAACTTACAATCCGTGTTACAGAATCGCACCGCCCCTGTCTTCTGCTCCTCTGTGTGCATACATTAACGACTAACTTACAATCCGTGTCACAGAATCGCACCGCTCCTGTCTTCTGCTCCTCTGTGTGCATACATTAACGACTAACTTACAATCCGTGTTACAGAATCGCACCGCCCCTGTCTTCTGCTCCTCTGTGTGCATACATTAACGACTAACTTACAATCCGTGTTACAGAATCGCACCGCTCCTGTCTTCTGCTCCTCTGTGTGCATACATTAACGACTAACTTACAATCCGTGTTACAGAATCGCACCGCCCCTGTCTTCTGCTCCTCTGTGTGCATACATTAACGACTAACTTACAATCCGTGTTACAGAATCGCACCGCTCCTGTCTTCTGCTCCTCTGTGTGCATACATTAACGACTAACTTACAATCCGTGTTACAGAATCGCACCGCCCCTGTCTTCTGCTCCTCTGTGTGCATACATTAACGACTAACTTACAATCCGTGTTACAGAATCGCACCGCCCCTGTCTTCTGCTCCTCTGTGTGCATACATGAACGACTAACTTACAATCCGTGTTACAGAATCGCACCGCCCCTGTCTTCTGCTCCTCTGTGTGCATACATTAACGACTAACTTACAATCCGTGTTACAGAATCGCACCGCTCCTGTCTTCTGCTCCTCTGTGTGCATACATTAACGACTAACTTACAATCCGTGTTACAGAATCGCACCGCCCCTGTCTTCTGCTCCTCTGTGTGCATACATTAACGACTAACTTACAATCCGTGTTACAGAATCGCACCGCCCCTGTCTTCTGCTCCTCTGTGTGCATACATGAACGACTAACTTACAATCCGTGTTACAGAATCGCACCGCCCCTGTCTTCTGCTCCTCTGTGTGCATACATGAACGACTAACTTACAATCCGTAGCTTAAGAGTGTGAGTGTTACAGAATCGCACCGCCCCTGTCTTCTGCTCCTCTGTGTGCATGAATGAACAACTACTTGTAACTTACAATCCGTAGCTTAAGAGTGTGAGTGTTACAGAATAGCTTTTAATAAGCGGCATGTTTTGTTTTGCCTCTTGTTCTTAGACGCTCCGTACGTCACCTCGTTTGTCAAGACACAGACGCGCTCGTCTCTCAACTTCACGTGTGTTGCCCACCGGCATGGCAGCAATGTCACCATACACATCAGGAGACCGGACGGGACGGTCCGGAGCTTTCCCGGCTCGCTGATAGCTACTGACTACTACGGCGGCGGTTATAAGCACGGCTATTACTCGTGCAGCGTTGAAAGCGATGCTGTGTGTAACCCGCCCGGAGATCCCAGCGTGCTGCGACCTTGTCAGTGGAACTCTCGGTATGAAAAGCACATAAAGGTGCCAAGCTACTGTGAGTACAAGGACATGGGCAGGACATGGGCAGGACATGGGCAGGACATGGGCGGGACATGGGCAGGACATGGGCAGGACATGGACAGGACATGGGCAGGACATGGGCAGGACATGGGCAGGACATGGGCAGGACATGGGCAGGACATGGGCAGGACATGGGCGGGACATGGGCAGGACATGGACAGGACATGGGCAGGACATGGGCGGGACATGGGCAGGACATGGGCGGGACATGGGCAGGACATGGGCGGGACATGGGCAGGGCATGGGCAGGGCATGGGCAGGAGATGGGCAGGACATGGGCACTGAGGACATGGACAGGACATGGACAGGACATGGACAGGACATGGACAGGACATGGGCAGGACATGGGCAGCGTTTTGAAGTCATTGTTTCTCCAAACATCTGGCTGTGGATAAGCACATGCTGTACTATCAGGCTATAGTGCGTTTCAAAAGTATAGACCTCTAGACTTTTTTTAATACTTCAAATTTGGTTTGAGCTTTTTGAATATTACTCAGGCAGCTCACACAATTTTCTCATATAGATTTCTAAGCGAATGGATAACAGACGCCCAATTTCGAAAATGTTATGCACAAAGTGATCACAGATTTTATGTGGTGTAGATGCTGTCCTAACGGTTTTTTTAAACCAGAGGTCTGGACTTTTGAAACTCACTATAGTGATGGTGTAGATATAGTTTGTATGGACACGTGTGTTTTTCTTTTTGTTGTTTTTTGTTTGTTTTTGTTTTGTTTACTTCAATAACACTGCCCCACCAGGAGAGGAAAAAAGGGGGAACATGAAAACATGAAAAGGACGTTTAGAGAACTGAATAGTGTTTTTACTATTTAGTAACAGTCACATATAAATAAAAAAGTATAAATAAAATAAAATAAATAGTAAAAAACACTATTCAGGAATGAGTTTGCTCACACACTGGAGCTCGCGCTATTCCGCCGACTTGACTTGACACTTGACTGACTCACGACTGCCATCCAGAGCACACGAGAAGTCCATCGAACCTTCGACTTGGCAAACCTGCAAGAAAGCACCACTCCCTGCTCAATACATAGTGTTTCGGGGGAAATCACCCCTCATCAGTTAAGCTTGAGTCGCGTGTCGCATCGCAAAAAAGCTTCTGTGAATCCCGCTTTTAAAAGGTGTCTGCTGTGCTGTGCTGTGGTCTGTACAAGGGAGTAGTAAAATACCGGTACTTTACTACTCCCTGGGCGTACTCCACGACGCCCTGCACCTCGTTGATCCTCATCCGCTGCTAGGCTAAGGTGTCTGCTGTGCAGTGCTGTGGTCTGTACAAGAGACTAGTAAAATACCGGTACTTTACGACTCCCTGGGCGTACTCCATGACGCCCTGCACCTCGTTGATACTCTCCCCGGCTGCTAGCGCTAAGGCGTCTGCTGTGGAATGCTGGACGTGTCCGTACCTGGGAGTAGTAAAATGCCAGCATTTTACGCCTCCCTGGGTGTACTCCGCTACGCCCTGCACCTCGCTGATACTATCTCCGGCTGTACCTGGGAGTGGTAAACTGCCGGTATTTTACGACTCCCTGGGCGTACTCCGCGACGCCCTGCACCTCGCTGATACTCTCTCCGGCTGCTAGCGCTAACACGCCTGCCGTGCAATGCTGGACGTGACTGTGCCAGGGAGTAGTAAAATACCGGTATTTTACTACTCCCTGGTTTGGAGTCAGACTGAGTTTTTTTACAAACTTCCCTACTGCAATCACCTTGCAGGGATAATGGTGAATAGAGGAGTGTTATGGTGGTGATCAGGGGCATAGGAAGCGGTGCGGCCGGTGTGACCAAAGCCGTACCAATAATTTCATCCAGTGATTTTTGAAGCAATGGAATATGGGCTAGCTGAGCTCAATTTCCCTAGCTATTTTCCCAGGGGAGGTCCCCGGGAGCCTTCACCCATTCGTGGCCGCACCAATATCGAATACTTTCCGACGCTCCTGGGTGGGGCTGCTTACACTTAGTCGATCTGAGGTCTCGACCGCACGATGTGTGCCCAGTGCACCAAGTGCCGGACAAGAAAAGAAGAGAAGAGAGAAAATAACTCGGCACCAGTGACACTGATTTGCTCTGCTTCCTCTCCCACCCAGCACGCCCATTTCTGCGTGTACTTTCGGCCTTGAACATCACCAACCAGGTCGGCGAAAATGCCACATTTTCGTTCACGTGGAATTACCCACCCTATCCAGCGCCCAGCATTAAATGGATGCACAATGGTAACCCGATTAATACAAGTGCGCACAAGGTTCGATTGCTCAATAGTGGCAAGTTGCTGAAATTGATGAACTTGATGCCCTCAGACATGGGGCTATACACAGTGTTTGTGAACAACTCGGAAGGATCAAAGAGTGTTTCGTTTACCCTGAATATACCCGGTAAGAGGGCAGCAGGCTGATTCTTTTGCTCGTCGTCGTCTGTCTGTCTGTCTGTCTGGCCATATGTCTGTCTGTCTGTCCACATGTCTGTCTGTCTGTCCATATGTATGTATATATATATATGTCATTTTGTGTGTTCGCCTGTGTGTCTGCCTGTGTGAGTGTGTCTGTCTGTCTGTCTGCCTGTCTGTCTGTCTGTCTGTCAGTCAGTCAGTCTGTCTTTCTGTCTGTCTGTCTGTCTGTCTGTCTGTCTGTCTGTCTGTCTTGTCTGTCCATATAACCAAATGTCTGTCTGTCCACATGTCTGTCTGTCTGTCCATCTGTCTCTCTCTTTCTTGCTCGCTCTCTGTCAGTCTGCCTATCTGTCTCTCTCTTTCTTGCTCGCTCTCTGTCAGTCTGTCTATCTGCCTGAGTCATAAAACTTCAACTGAACATAGCCCAGTCACACAACAGGAGCGAGGCTTGACTCTGACGGGCATTTGGTATATTTGACATTTCGACGGGAACTGTCTTCTTCAGAAAGAGAACTACTGAGATCAGGCTATAGAGAGGCGAAGCAGCCTGCGGCACAATTTGTGGGTTGCCGATTGTGAACTCGTACCACAATAGCAATTTATAGAAAAGAAAAGGACCAAGCCTACTACAAGTTATGCTATGGCTCTACATCCCAGTCAATTCTTGCACACTAGCAATTGCAGTTGCAGCAATTGCACTGCAGTGATATAATCTTCCTGGCCTCCTCCAGAACCGATTCAGCAAAATGTTGGCTGCTTTTACTGAAGGTAATTCATACCTTTATTTAAAAAAAAATTTAAATAAGAAACCTTGCGTATCCGGACACCGAAGTTACCGGCACTTTGGCCTACCGGGCACCCTTTGGGCGAGTTTCAGTGGTAATATTACTACTCTTTCAGTGGTAATATTACTACTCTTTTTTTCACTTTTTGCAGAAATAGTGACTTTATACGCCATATCTATGGCCTTTCCCCATCAACATGTATGTGATTCGGAGTTATGGACATTTCAAAGTTACGGATAGTGCCCGGTCCTGGAACACCAAAATTAAAGGGGAAGTTAAGGAAAAAATTAAAATTTCACAAGTTGTAGTCTTCGGGGTGCTGAGTCCAATGGTCGTGATCCGAGGAAGCTGAGATGCTCCCTTCCTACTTGAATCTCAATCAAACTCGCGCACTTCCACCGAAACTGGGTGACTGCGCCCTACTAGATGGGGATTTGTATGCAAAATGTCACTAAAAGCGCCGTTTCGTTCTTATAAAAGCACGGATGACCGTGATTGGCCCATAATGTTGTAGTCTTTTGGACGCTGAGTCGATTGGTTTTGGTCCGAAAAGGCTGCGATGCAGCGTTCCTCCTATATTCCCAATCGAACATGGTTGAACAAGCGGTCACGTGCTCCTGCGTAAGCCTTCGCTTTCTTGTTATTGGGCAACTTGCCCGTTAGAATCTGCGAAGTATGTATGTATGTATATTTTTATTTGAATTCGCAAGTACACACGGGCTACAAGCCCAATTACATGGAAGCGAATGCCATAATGAGGCCAATTAAGAAAAAAAAAGGTGGAGGAAGGAGGAGGACGGTAGCAAAGCAACAGGGAGGACAAGTCAGGACCAAAATCAACAATTGCACAAATGTGAGAGCACCTGAGACCGAGGGTACCTGTGGAGCGATAAAATGCCAAGCAAACAGAAGAAAGGAAATCGCAAGCCAATACACGCTAAACTGCCCTTGAGTTAGAATGAAGGGGAAAACCGGAGCTCAAGAAAATTATAACGTACAAAGTCATAATAAGAAGTCAACTGGATGAGAAGTAGCACAAGCAAACATTTCCTGACAACGAGAGTAAAATAAACAACAACAACAACAAGTCACCTGGTCACCGTGCCTGCAGGGTACAACTTACTAGCCTGTTTGACCTTTTTTGGGTGCAGTCCTGTCACTCGAGTTGAACTCGAGTTGAACCTTGGTGTGAAAGTTGTCGCTGCTGGCGTGGTGACCAGGTGATTTGGGCACCCAGGAGCACGTGACCGCTTGTTCAACCATGTTCGATTGGGAATAAAGGAGGAATGCTGCATCGCAGCCTTTTCGGACCAAAACCAGTCGACTCAGCGTCCAAAAGACTACAACATATGGGCCAATCGTGGTCATCCGTGCTTTTATAAGAACGAAATGGCGCTTTTAGTGACATTTTGCATACAAATCCCCATCTAGTAGGGCGCAGTCACCCAGTTTCGGTGGAAGTGCGCGAGTTCGATTGGGATTCAAGTAGGAAGGGAGCGTCTCGGCTTCCTCGGACCAAGACCATTCGACTCAGCACCCGGAAGACTACAACTTGTGAAATTTTAATTTTTGCCTTCACTTCCCCTTTAATGAGGTGTGAGTGTAGGTGCAGGTGTATAGATGCCACAACGACATTTTCTTTACTACCACTCTATCTAGAAGAAAAACAAAGCGAAGGGAGATGAGGACATAGGCAACGAAACAGTTCCAACGCGTAGCCAGGGATGGTAGGGATTCCTCCGGCGCTGCCCGGGCTCTCATTTATCTTTGCTTTCTTGCTTGCTAGCTTGTATTGCTGAGGGAACATTATGCTGGTTTGTATCCGTGGGTCCCCGTGGTGCATGGGCCACACGTACGCATACAGCGGATATGTGTGAATAATAATAATAATAATAATAATAATAATAATAATAATAATAATAATAATAATAATAATAATAATAATAATAATAATAATAATAATAATAATAATAATAATAATAATAATAATAATAATACCTCCGACAAGCGAAACTTGGCGCGTTTTTTTATTTTTTTATTTGTGTTGGTACCACAAGTTACTTCACAAGGCAGTGAGGTACGCGACCTACTTGTACCCTCCATGCAACCGGGTGCAGGAAGCCAAGCGATGAGCTGGTGAGTGGCACATGGCTCGACTAGTCAGAAGCAGGCCAGTCTATCGTGTACCAGCACAACAGGGCACGCGCGCGCCGCGCGTCTATTCTGCCAAGGAGAATCGTCGTGATTTCGCGTTTCAAAGCAAAACTAAGGAGTTCTCTCTCTCTCTTCACTTGATCACTCAGCCAACACAGAGTCCATACGTCCATGCCAAATAATCCTAGCGTATTTCAATAGCCTTCAGAGCGATGCGTCTCTGGTGGCTAAGGAAAAGCGCCAGGAATTGCTGCCTGAAATTTTGGACAGTTGGCGAGAACACCCGGCAAACATGTTGCAGTCCATGCGCGTGTGGAGGTGTTGCACAGTTCTTACCACGTCAACCTAGATAGCGGCGGCGGAAACGACCCTCGACACCGTGGCTCAAGCACAGAAGCGACATCGAGATTTCCAGAGCGATCACAACAGAGATACTTGATCACAACAGAGATACTTGCTGCAACTGAATCCGCTCTAGTCGCTCTTTCGTCTCAAAACAGGGACAATTCCTCTCCAGAAGAAACTGCGATATCTGAATCAGGGGAGAGTGATTCAGCCTAACTGATGTCTCTAATGTCCTTGTTGAGCAATACAAAGTTGTATTTTGGTGAGTCAATCATTAGACTTGATTGTAAAGTGTGAGATATTTCGTGTAATTTGAAGTAAAAAACGCGCCAAGTTTCGCTTGTCGGAGGTAGTAATAACAAGATCTATAAGAAAGAGCAGATCCGAAAGGAACTAGTAGTTATCCTCTGATAGAGAGGTTAAGATGCACGTTATTTCCCACGTGACGCGCAATTTCCCGTCAAATTTGGCGTAAAACTCCAAAATTTGACGTGAGCTGCAGGTCACTCGCAGTGTTTTTCGCCGCGCGCGCCAAATAACGGGTGCTGAAATTTCGCGTCACGTCAGAAATAACGTGCATCTTAAACTCGCTGCTGTCACCGCAACCAAAAGCATCATCAGCTACTGTATAAGCAGAAATATTCGTCTGGAATTTAATTTCGTCTTTTTCGTCCAAGGAGCTTTTGGACTAAACTAAATGTAGGACTAATGTCGATTTGTCCAGCTTTTCTATACACTCTTATGATCCATGGACGAAATTTTCAACCGGACGAACTCCTTTTCTTTGGAGTTGGACGAAATTATTGACCAACGAAATTGTCTGCCTCTACTGTACTTGACAATCAGCACATGCGATAATAGAATATTGCACAACACTGACCAGCGGTACTGCCGTTCTACAACTAATTTCCTAGGGCCTGATTGGAATCTTTTCAATTTCCAAACTTGCTGTTTCCTTGTTCAAGTAATACGGTACGAGTGACACTCTGAGGCTAATCCGTTTCCCGTGTTTTGCCATTCCTCCCCAGGGCCACCCGTTGTGGATACGTTCTCAGACTTGAACACCACCGGACTGCTCGGTGAAAATGCCACCTTCCACGTCACCCTGAAAAACATACCTTATCCGTCGGCAACTATTGAATGGACGCACAATGGATCTCCAGTCAACACCAGCTTAGACAGGACGCAATTGTCAACCGATGGCTTGTTGTTGAGACTGACGAATCTGGCTCCCTCGGACAGTGGAGTTTACACCATCTTGGTACAGAATAGAGATGGATATGAAAATGTTACATTCGCCATGGATATTCAGGGTACGTGCTAATATTGCTTATTGCTGTCCAACTGTATGTCTGTCTGTCTGTGTGTGTGTCTGTCCGTATGTCCGTCCATCTGTCCGTCCGTCCGTCCATTCGTCTGTCTGTGTCATAAAACAATGCATAGCCGAGCCATACAACAAGAGCAAGACGAATGGACACTTTGTCGTTCTGAAGAAGACATGAGTTTACCATCGTATAATTTCGTCTCTCTCTCTGTCTTCTGTCCTGTCTCTTTGTTTGTTCTCCGCAGATCCTCCAGTTCTGGACACGTTTTCAGCCCTGAACAGCACAAAACTGATCCGCGAAAACATACTGTTTTACGTTAACCTGAAGCGCACCCCTATTCCGGCGCCTACTATCGTATGGCAGCACAATGGATCTCCCATCAACGCAACAGCAAGCAGGGCAGGATTTTCTAACGATAGTTTGTCGTTGAACTTGACAAATCTAGCAGTGTCCGACAGTGGATTGTACACAGTCTTGATTAGCAACACCGTCGGATCAGAGAAACTGATGTTCTTCCTGGATGTTCAAGGTATGTTCTGAAAAATTCCACTCCTTGTCATGTCTGCCTGCCTGTATGAATGTCTGCCCAGTAACCCGCCCGCCTGCCTGCCAGCCCGCCCGCCTACCTGGCTATTGACCTGTTGCACCTGCTGCTTCCGCAAGATGAGGCCACTGTTGCTATTACATGATCTTTCCTTTTAAAACGTTCTGGAATACATTATTCGTCCCCATGGATGTGATATGAGTGCGCATTTAGTTATTTTCTTTCTCTTTTCCTTCCCTTTTCAAAGAACAAGCCTGCACAATTTCAAAATTTGTTTAATGGTATTGGAAACATTAGGGCATGTTCGATTGGTAAGGATCGGGATCGGGATCCAGATCTCAGATCCGTCGGATCCTTCAGATTCAACTGAACACTTTATTTTGGACCTTGACTGCTGCCATGTTGACGAAGTAATAAAACGGCGCTCACAAGTCATCCAAAGGGTGAAAGCTGCACTCATCGCGAGTGCGCGTCATACAAAAAGTCAACAAGCTCTATCTCGATCCACGTGTGCGTACCACAATGTGTACAAAAATGATTTTTCCCGCCATATACGCACAAAGGTCACATTTGGATCCAAATCCGAAGGATCCGGATCCGGATTCGACCAATCGAAAGGGTGCAAATCCAGTGGATCCGGCAGATCGGGATCCCGATCCTACCAATCGAACATGCCCTTTTTAATTATGCTCATGCCAAAACAATTCGTCCCCTGAGGGCTAACTTTAAGCTTGTTGTTCCCTCACCACGTGTGTTTAAGTAAAGAAGGTACTAGTGACACCAGCTGCATATTCTGTTTCTCTTGTGTTTTATTCCCCCCCCCCCCCCCCCCCCCCAGTACCTCCGGTTGTGGACACGGTCTCACCCAGCAACAGCCTTAAACAGTTTGGTAACGGCGTCAGGTTTTTCGTCACCCTGAAACGCACACCCCGTCCACTGCCGACTATTCAATGGTCACATAACGGATCTCCAATTAATGTCACTGCGGACAGGGTGGGTTTGTCCAGTGATGGCTTGACGCTAAGATTGTCCAACTTGATGCCCTCGGACAAGGGAGTGTACACAATGTTGGTGTGGAATAGCGCTGGCTTGGAAGTGGTGCCGTTCAACTTAGCTATTCAAGGTATTTGCTGGTATAAGTACTTGACTGTCGCTGTCTGTGCGTCTCCCTGTCTGTCTCTCCGCCGGTCTGTTCACCTGTCTCTCGGTCTCTCCATCTGTCTCTCCGTCTGTCTCTCTCTCTCCGTCTCTCCGTCTGTCTCTCTCTCTCTCTCTCCGTCTGTCTCTCTGCCTGTCTCTTCATCTACCTGTCTGCCCACTTGTTTATCCTTCTGTGTACTGTAGTACAGGTGAAATCCTGATAATTCGAACCTCGAAATGCCAGGAAAAACTTCTAATTATCCGGACATTCTAATTATCCAAACATGAACCCACAACTCAATATGTACGCGGTCCTGGAAAAACTTCTAATTAAGCGGTATGTTCGAATTGAGCCGTAATTATTCGAATTATCAGGATTCCACCTGTATAGAACAACTAATTTTCACTGTCATCATTATGGGTGCCAGACCTCTAACTAATAGCCCACTGCCTCCAAAGTCCAAATACCACTTTTTGGATCCAAGGGGCGGTCGTATGTTGCAGTTCACTAAAAGAAAATTTTTCCAGAGTTTATGGATGACTCGTACGGCGGTAGAAACACTCCCGGCAAATGCGGCAGATAGACATGCCCGTCTGCCCGCAAGCGCTCTCTAAGCTGCAAACATATGCTCTGACACAGAGCCCTCCTTCTCACAACCACCACCAACATCAGTTCAGTAAGAGTTTATAACCCTTTAATACCGTGACACACACAACAGAGGCGAAAGGCTGTGTTTAATAGCTGTAACTTTAAGTTTCACGCATTGGAGCGATCATCAGACAGCAGCATTCACTATCGAATTCTCTACGAGCAGGCCTAGATATTTGATTTTTTGTATTGTATTGTATTTTATTATTTTACTTGGGAATTCCCAACAGACCCTAAGGTCTTCTTACAGGGTGCCCAAGATGAATGAAATTGTTAAGCTCCTGGCGAAATGAATTGGGGATATGATTTGTGCGAAGGGATTCGGGAAGCGCTTTTTTTTATGCTAGTGTGGAAGTTAGTGCATATGTGCGAAGTGAAGACGTGGCATTGGGACAGTGGTATTAAGTTGCTTGTGAGGGTTAACGGATATAGGTGGGAATCGGCCTAGAATAGAACAGACCCTTTAATATAGAACATGCAAAAATCATATGTTTATGTTTTATTTTTGTTTTCTCTCCAGTTCCTCCAATTGTAGAGACATTCTCAAACCCGAACAGTACAAAGCTCATCACCGAACACATCTCATTTCACGTTAACCTGCAATACGTACCCAATCCTTTGCCGACCATCACATGGCTGCACAACGGATCACCGATCAACACAGGCATGAGCGGAACGGAATTGTCAAGTGATGACTTGTCGTTGAACTTGACAGATCTAGCAGTGGCAGACAGTGGATTGTATACGGCCATGATTGAGAACACCATAGGATCAGAGGAAGTGATGTTTTTCCTGGATGTTCAGGGTAGGATTTTAAATTACTATCCGGGCCTTCTTTGCCCCTGTGTATGAAGACCTGTTATGTATACTTGTCTGCCTGCCTATCTATCCACCTGCCCGCCCGCCTGCCCGCCCACCCGCCTGCCTGCCTGCCTGCCTATCTGCCCACCTGCCCGCTCGCCTGCCCGCCCACCCGCCTGCATGCATGCCTGCCTGCCTGCTTGCCTGCTGCCTGCCTGCCTGCCTGCCTATCTGCCCACCTGCCCGCCTGCCTGCCCGCCCGACCGCCTGCCAGCCAGCCAGCCAGCTTGCCTGCCTGCCTGCCTGCCTATCTGCCCACCTGCCCGCCCGCCCGCATGCCTGCCTGCCTGCCTGACTGCCTGTCTGCCTGCCTGTCTGACTGCTTTTCAGTTTGTTTTCGTCTACTGTTGGTTTGTAGCTCTGGGTGTGTATGTGTTACGGTTTTTTTTACCTTTTAAACTACGAGAACAAGGCTCTCTTGCAATTTCTTGCTAGCTACTTGTCTTATCAAAAAGAAAGTGGCCGTGTACTTTTATTCTAAAGGTAGCAAGGGACTAACAAGACGCATGCTAAAACCTCTGGATTGCAATTACAAACTTCTTGTCACCCCATCATCTATTTTAAAAGCAAAGTGTCAGTTTTTGGATACACTTTCTTCCTTTGTGTTTTATTTCGTACCCAGTGCCCCCGGTGGTGGAGAGGTTCTCAAAATTGAACCGAGTTCGGCGGCTTGGTAGACGCACCAGGTTTTTCGTCACCCTGCGACACGCACCCCTTCCACTGGCGACCATTGAATGGTCGCACAACGGATCTCCGCTCAATGCCAGCGCAGACAGGGTGCAGCTATCCAATGATGGCCTGGAGCTGAGTCTGACCAACTTGATGCCATCAGACCAGGGAGGTTACACAATCTTGGTGAAGAACAACGTGGGATCTGATAGCGTGAGATTTTCCTTGAATCTGCTGAGTACGTGCTGATTACTAGTACTTTGCTTTCTCTCTGTCGTGCATCTTGCTCTGTGCCTCGGCCTGTCCGGCTGGCTGCTCGTCTGCCCATCTGCCTGTCTGCCCGTCTGTATGTCTGCCTGTGTGTTTGTGTGTGTGTGTGTGTGTGTGTGTGTGTCTGTGTCTGACTTTCTGTCTGTCTGTCTGTCTGTCTGGCACTCTATCGTTGCACGTAAGTCAAAGTACAGCCGGCTTTCCTACTGTTTCATTCTGTTACACATGTGCACGCACGCACACAAACACACACACACACACACACACACACACACACGCACACACATACACACATATAATGCTATTCTATCACACAGCATGAAAGCAGCCTAGGAGCCCTAATACTAGGCTTGGTTGTCAATGTGACTTGTCGGCTCCTGAGTACGATTTCAAGCTCTTTGTGGCCCTAGTTTTTGTTCTAGTGAAATCTGAGTGTCTATTCTGTCAAACTTGTGTTTCTCCTCCCCAGCTCCCCCAGCTGTGGATACATTCTCGGCCTTAAACACCACGAGGCAGTATGGTGGGAACGCAACATTTTACTTCACCATGAAACACAGACCCTATCCGGCGCCAACCGTTGAATGGTTTCACGACGGATCTCGAATCGATGCAAACGCAGACAGGGTGCAATTGTCCAATGGCGGTTCGTCGTTGACATTGATCAACCTGACGCTCTCAGACAAGGGAGCTTACACCTTCACGGTGAGAAATGACCAAGGATCTGACAGTGCAATGTTCAACATGGATATTGCAGGTATGTCCAGTTTATGTTTAGTGAAGGGTTTTCCATGTTATGAAGTGGTTGCAGTGGAGCTTGCTCACCCTAGAGAATGTTGGCATTAATTTTGTTTAGGGTTTAAACGGTGACAACTGTTGCATGACCGGGTATCCTCATTAATGTTGTCAGTACACCACACGTCTTTCTAGTGAGCACTCACCACCTCACACTGTGACGTGTGACCATGTTGTGACAGTGCTGCATACAGTAGAGTGGTGATTACCCACACCCCTCGGGGGGGGGGGAGCTGCATCCAGGGGGGTTCGGATAAGGAGAAAGCTCGGATAGGGGAGCAGTCACACATGCATCCATCTGAGACATGCACATTCCCTCCGACATGCTTCCCATCATTTCTCTTTAACTCCGGCAGTTCCACAGGAACTAGACACACCCAAGCTCCTTAAAAAAAACTCAACGATGATATAATTATCACTCCAACCTGTTGCAAAACATAGTGTGCACCACTTGAATTGTGCTTCAGGTGGGGAAAATAGGCAAAATCTCATTTTCGTACCTTCAATTCAATGGAAAATGGCATGTTGAATAATTGATCATTCGGATAGTTGACGTTCGGACAATCGGCATTCTTCTGTACGGATTGGTGGGAACACGGAGCGAATTCCCCATGGCCATTTTGCATCACAACCTGTAGCTAAATTCTATTCTCCCTTGTGCCCGTTTTTGTACTGAATAATGCGTGGGAGTTGAAACGGGAAAAGCGCATGTTATCTCTTTGGATGTCCGCGAGTCACAAAAGATTTTCTTCACTTTTGTTTGCAAATTGTCCAGTGCCGCCATGTCCAAGTCTGCAGAGACGTGCTGCTGATGGAGTCAGCTGTGTCCAGTGCTCCTGTGACAAAAATGCTACAAAGAGCTGCGATGATAGCGATAGTTGCACCTGCCTGGACAACTATTCCGGACGCACGTGCCAAGACTGTGCCGCGGCTTACTACCGAACGGAAGAGCAGTGCGTTCCGTGTTCGTGCACTTCACATGGTTCCCATGACAACTTGTGTGACCAGGTTACTGGACAGTGCAGCTGCATACCCGGCTTCCACGGAACAAAATGCACAGAATGCCCGGACGGCTTCTTCATCCCGGACCCCAGCATGGAAAACACGGCATGTGTAGCCTTTGACTCTAACAAAACGTGTCAAGGTGAGACTTTGAATAATTTTATATTGGTATTGAGGGAATCTCCACAGGCCTTACCCTAAATCAAGGGAATCTCCGCCTGATGGTTGTATACTTCTGGCGAGAGTGTCATGTGAATCGAATGTAAATAATATTGTGACTGGGCTGGCGAATAGAGCTTAGAAAGGTGACCTGGTCTACTTGCAGACATAGTGCAGTCAAGCTTTAAGCTGTATTGGGAGTAGCTGTTGATTTTGACTGAGTTTTAGCTGCTTATCAAGTAGCTGTAGACTATCGTACACAGTCAGACCTCGCTTATCCGGTCCTCTCTTATCCGGATCTCTCGCTCAGTATCCGGAAGAAAATCGTTGGTTACCAATTTACAGCATATGCTATGCACACATACAGTATGTGTGTTCGATTATCCGGTTCCCTCGCCTATCCGGATATTTGTTGTGGAAAACGGATGTGTGCGGTTAAGCCAGGTCTGACTGTACTTTGTCTGGGGAGGGGGGGGGGCAGGAGAGCTATGGCATGCGTATCACATGACGATCATACAGGACAGCCATGTTGGCTCCGGCTCCACTCAACCCTAATATCTTAGTTAGGATGAGAGGCTTGTCGCCTATCAAGGGGGTCATCGCTTTGAAGGATGTACATGCAATATGGGCCATGTCAGAAGCGGATCCCGACATCTCTACAGGAGGTTCCAGTTTAGCCAAAAACTGAACAGCAGGTACATGTGCATGTACATGACTATGGTTTTCAGCAGTACATTTGAGAAATTTAGGAGGTCACGGAACCCCGGAATCCCCCCCCCCCCCCCCCCCCCACAGGATCTGCCTCTGCATCTTGCTTACAACTCTCCACTCAACTCCTGCATCTATGGGTCACATGATGTCGGTGGCCATGTTGGTCCCACTGTCCACATGACATGATCACTTTCTACACCGACATGACCAGGGTCACATGACCAGAGTCACATGACCAGGGTCACATGACCAGGGTCACATGACCAGGGTCACATGACCATGGTCACATGATGTCGGTAGCCATGTCGGTTCCACTGTCCACAAGACATGATCACTTTCTGCAATAAAATTTAGTCACATGACCAAGATATCAACACCACTCTATACAAGCAAGATGGAACAGAATTTGTACTGCAACTCATCATGCGATCATCAGGCACACAAAACCCCACTGTATATATCTGGTTTCCACTTGGTGTACTCTGCAGCATGCTATTGTTCAGTGGCCGGCTCAGTCAGCAGTGTGTGTGCTAATGGAGCAGGAATATGTCAGTGCAGACCAGGTTACACTGGAGATAAGTGTGATTCGTGTACCAGTCCCGGACAGTTCTATGCTACTAATGCTGGTTGTACAGGTATGGTATTCACAACATGCAAGTTTTTTATTTTATTTATTTTTATGAATACCACAGAACCATCAGATGCTGCGTAGCGGTGGCGGTGGCATATTGTATGGAAGTGCATATTGTTGCAGTGCTTCTCTCTGTCTCCGCAGGCTGGGTGGATGTGCAGTGTTTCTCTCTGTCTCAGCAGGCTGGGTGGATGTGCAGTGTGTCTCTGTCTCAGCAGGCTGGGTGGATGTGCACTGACATGCGTCTACATACATTTCAATTACTGGTGACATGTTCTGACAGTGAACTGACCAATGTGTGCCGATATGCTGACCAGGCGGGTAGCCCGCATGGGGCACGGGGAGGGAGGGGGGAGGGTTCTGCACCCCGAAATATTTTGACCTAAGTTCAGCATGCATATCCACATACTGACCATGAATGACATGCACCAGTCACCCTGCACATATGCGGCTATGCACCCCCTAAAAGGGGGACCGGCTAAGCCCCTGCTGACAGGGGTTTGTTTGCCTATGCTGATCATTGTTCACAGCAGAGGTACGTACTATCCCGCGAAACAACACGGGATTATTATTCCCAAAACGATGTGGCCCGGATTTGGAAGTTCTATGGGATGCGCGGTCCGTGAAGCTCGCAATCGCAATTAGTGCCTTGATCTGCTCACCCAAAGCGTGGCACAGACCAGCAATGCCATTTTGCGAGCGTGTAGAAATCAACCATGCCGCGGGGGCGATAGGCAAAAGAAGAGTATTGTGTTGTGTTGTGTTGATTGTCCCAGCGCTGAGCGATGAGCTCTTCACCGGCAACAAGTCATCCCTGGTTCAAGGCAGTGTTTTGAATCTGTCCTATGAGTTTGTCTACGGCTCACAGTTCACCCATCATGGACAAGTCTCAGTAAGTATTACCCATTCAGGGGGGCACTGCACAGTCCCTATGCACGTTGTACAGATGTACGAAGTTCTGTACTAGACGCGTGCGCCGGTGCCCTTCAAGGGGGGGGTTCCGGGGCGTCCCCGGGAAATTTTTCAAAAAATGAAGCAAAATCCTGCATTTGAGCGAAAAAAAAAGAAAAAAAAAGGGGGGGTTCCGGTCACCCAGGAACCCATACGGGGCACGCGCCTGTGTGCAAGGCCATAGGTGTGTACATACGCGGTTGGGTGTTCATTGTGTGCTATATTCAAGGGCCTCATCCACATTAAACGTTGGGTTCTCCAATACCCGTAGTCTCAAATTGGAGGGAGGAAGTCCATCGATAAACTGGTCCCTCAAAACCTCCCCTTGATTATCTGGAGTCATAGTTGTGTAAGCTCGCACCACTAACCGTCTTAATTCATCACAATAACTGGCTAGTGCTTCCCCGGTGGTCTGGCGGTGTCAAGCCTTAAATTGGGCTTTAAGCTGACGTCCATTTCCTATGGGGGAAAATTGGCGACCCATCTCTTCAAGTAGCCGCAGCCAGTTCCTCCTATGTCCTAAGGGAAGGGTGGTATAAAAACGTTGCTCGTGCTGCCTCAGTCCACCTATTTAAGTTGGCAGATTCCTCAAAATACAAGTTATATTCCTCCCAATCTCCTTCACCGTCAAATCCTCTGGCATGATGAGTGGCCGATTGGGTTGGGCATCCCCTCCATACCCGCCGAAGTAGGCGGCAGGGCGCCCTGGGAGCCTCGGAATCGGAGCAGGTTGAGCCGCGACATCTGGGAGAGGACCTGGAGGAGCGAGAGCAGCAGGGACAGGTGCAAGAGCCGCAGCAGGAAGCTCAGAAGGAGCAGCAGCAGCAGCAGCAGGAGCAGCCACAGCAGGAGCCGGAAGAGAGGAGCCGGAGCTCTTCTGGCGACGGGACCACCGGCAACAGCAGGTTGCGGGGCAGCCGCCGTGGCAGCCAATTGAGCACGGGTTCCTCTCTGTGCCATTCTAGAAAGCAAAGGGAACAAAGAAAAATAGAGAAAGAAGAAAAACCGGACGGAGAGCCAAAACCAAGGAACAGAAAACACTACCACTCGATGGAAACGAAACTGGCAACTGAACACGATCGCCAGCTCGTCCAGCCGTTTTACCAAACCCGATACATTACCGTACGAACAGACATCACAACAATCCCATATCCAATACCGGGTACGATGCAATCGATTGCACCCGGCAGTAACCTCAGGATCATTGCAGCGCATGCGGCGGTGGGTACTCCCATAACAGGAATGCCACAACCATTCCACGTGTCGTACTTTCCGTCCTACTAGCTCATCATAGGAATTCCATTTCCAACCAAAATAATCAAGAAGCAAAAACGAAAACAAGTCACCAATGGTCAATGCACAAACAACAACCAGCCACGCGGTCATGTTTACTCACCGGCCTGGCTGAGGTTCGAGACGGTCATTCCTGATCTTCGAACCTCAGCCAGTTTCCCTCGGTCCGACGGAAGTACTCTTCTAATGTCATTTCTGTCGTTGACCAGTCTTGTAGGTCTTCTAAGCCAGAGTCGACGGCCGAGGTGTCGACGGACGGAGGGGTGACCACCATTCGTTTGTCGGTTTGCTGTTGTTGTTGCCTCTGCTGATTCCTTTTCTGGCGGAGTTTTAGTACCCACTCCCAGTTGCGTCGCTGGCGGGACGGCGAGGTATGTTTTCACCTTGGTCCGAGCGGCGGTGTCCCGAACCGCCCGAGACCGTGGTGGCGACTTGACCACGTTTCGTCGCTTCTTGAAATGTTGGAACTTATTGAGGGCCCGTCTGCTATCACTGTTGCGATGCGGGGCGGCAGCGTTCCTTGCCGCCTGTTGTCTTGCGGGGTAACCCGACGTGAGTTGCACCGTCAGGGTGTGGAGAGACCTTACAGTACTGATGACAACACACAAACACAGCACACAATAGTATACAATAGTATCGGATCATGTTCACTGCGCCAATTGTCGTATCCGGTCGGCCCGGGGTCAGACCCCAGGGCTGCGGTCAGACACGAACTAACTTACTAAACTCACCCATTACAAGGCCGGGCAGTGATGGCCGTAACTGTAATTACATTACTAGACGTTCCGGCACCACATCTACTCGCGATTCAGACATATTTCGACACGCACACTCACACCAGCGTTCAGGTTTACTCACATCTTCCAAGAAGGTTACTTAGTTCAAGAGACGATATGATCGGAGAGCACAAGGCAAGAGAGATGAAAGCCGAGGCTTCCACCTGAAGGCGGAAGGCAAGAGAGAGAGAGAGAGAGAGAGAGAGAGAGAGAGAGAGAGAGAGAGAGAGAGAGAGAGAGAGAGAGAGAGAGAGAGAGAGCGAGAGCGAGAGCGAGAGCGAGAGCGAGAGCGAGAGCGAGAGCGAGAGCGAGAGCGAGAGCGAGAGCGAGAGCGAGAGCGAGAGCGAGAGCGAGAGCGAGAGCGAGAGCGAGAGAGAGCGAGAGTGTGTGTGTGTGTGTGTGTGTGAGAGAGAGAGAGAGACAGAGAGAGACAGAGAGAGCCAGAAAGGAGATTGCCATAATATCTAACTACGGGCAGGAGGCTGATCCCCCCGTACGAGCTATAGGACAAAATAATGAACCATGGTACACCCGCATGCCGCAATGTACCAAAAATTAGCAATAATGTGTATAAACTGTATCACAAAGAGCGGGATCGGGAGCCAGCTAAAAGGAAATACCAGGGTGTACCAAATAAGGAAGGCACCGGGCTTTGCGTGAAGTAACATAGTAAGTTACACGGCTGTCAAGAAGCGGCAACTTAGAAAGATGGCGTCGGTTCGAGATGGCATGGTAACCGCGCACGTGCCGTGGTCCGTGACTTGCTCATATCATGTATGCACGCAAATGCAAGTCACAAACTCACAAAGATCGTCTTTGCATTTGGAGAAAATATCTTCGACTCTCTTTGGAGGTTGGCGAGGTTTGCCTAATCTTTACTGGATTGCGATGCCGGTATGTCCTCTCAATAATTAGAACAAAGGGAGCTGATGATCGCTTCATTGCTGAGCAGAAGTAACAATCAACTCTCTTCATGTCCTCAGTGCCAAAGGCAGACGACTGCAATTCCACAACGCTCATTTCACGATGATGGAAACAATAATCGTGTACTAGTACACACTTGGACCATTTGGTCATCCCTGTTCTAGCCGCTAGTCCGTCCAGCAAGCAGATATTGACTATTACGATAAGGACACCTGCGTGAACGAGGGCTCGCCCAGCAAATTCAATTCAAGACGTGACTCCAGTCAAGAATTAGGGTCTTCACTCGAGAACTTCACAAATACAGGTCAAGGCACCCCACAAAACTGATAGATGGCACGAACGAAAGACAAATAGGCTAGACAAAGTGTCCCAAGTGATTGAAAACAGCAGATCTACCAAATAAGACAGCTACATGTGCCTAAACAACGATTCCCATACAGTAGAGAGTAGTATCAGGCAGAATGAAAGCCTTGGAAGTGCACAAATACGGCCACGGCCGCCACAAAAATTGGACGACCGTCACAAAAAAATTCTCATTGCTCTACCTCCTTGAAGGGTGAAAGTTACCAGTTATCCTATAGCGATGTCAGTTTATGCCTGTTGGAACCCCCCACATCCCGCACGAAATGCCTTTCAAATAATTCCAGGATGCAATTGCAGCTCCAGACAGGAGGAAGAAGAACACCGTGAAAAATAACGGCAACGATGTCCAAACTCTCGGGAAACGGCTGAAGTCTTCCTGAAGATGTTAACATTGAATAGCCATCGATTGCCAGCGTGGTTTGGTGACTTTAGAACTGTTTTGAGACTTAGAACGAAGCGATATCTCAAATTTGATGGAAATGTTACCAGGCTGTCAAATGCGTGGGCGAGCAGACCAGCTGACTGGTTATGCATGAACATGCATGAGCATGCATTGATTTTTCATGGTTCACGTGCAGAAAACTAAGTTGCCGCGATCCAAGTGCAGCTAACAGCCGTGGTTATGAATCCGTTTATGGGAGATAGATAAATAATTAGACACATAAATAAGGCAATCTTGTCACGTGGAGACTTAAAAGGCCACGTGTCAATACTAGACAAAAGCATGAATACGACACATGCGCATTTGACCCATTTAGCCTCATAATTCATGGCAAATATCACTTTTCCAGCTTCTTCACTTAGGGATTGAACTAACGACTAGCTAGATCTCCTCCAGAAAAAGTGTTCGTATGAAATGCCTTCAGGGCCCATTTCATAGTGGAAATAGCAGCAAACACAATAGGGTCCTGCACATTCAACACCCAACCGGGTCTACGGGATTGTACAAGATTATACGAGATTCTACGGGATTTCGTGCATCTGTACAACGTGCATAAGGCATATTGGTCAAGTTTTGGCTCGGCGTATATTGCTGCACTGCTGTGGATTTAGGGGGGGGGGGGAGGGGGTAGGGACCGGCGGATTCTGCTCGAAAACTTGGCAGACTCTGCTCGAAAAGCAGTGAAATTGGCAGAACCATACAAACCTTATGGCGGGCAATTCCTGGAATTCTGCTCCAATTTTTTATCCACATACCAAGCATGCATGAAACTTACCAGAAAAGTACTGAATTCTGCCAATTTTTCTGTCGGCAGAATCCCCCGGACCCTAAGGGGGGGGGGGGTATCCAAGGCGATGACGCCTGTGGGAAATTCCCTAGTAATTTGTTTTAATAAGAGCAAAAATAAAGATAAATCCGGGAGAGCAGCAGAGAGAGTGCGTGGGGAGTAGTGGAGAATGTACTCCTCCATATTTGCACACGAAGCACAGAAGCCATTATTATAGTTTCGACAAGGCCTTTCGTACCATTGTTACGAATGCAATGGTGATTAACAAAAGGTAGCAAGCATGTCCTTATAACCGGCACTTGTAGTACCATGGTCCCCACTGTTGTCTGATACTGATAATATTCATTGTTTCACTGTGTAGTTGGTGCCACTAGCGCTATCTTTTAAAGTGCCATTTCGGTCAATGCTCTGACCGCCAAAGTGCCGGTTATAAGGACATGCTTGCTACCTTGTCAATCATCATTGTATTTGACTTGAAAAGGTAATGGTACGAAAGGCCTAGTCGAAACTATATCGCTTGGCTTGGCTTGGATTGGTTTATTTAATGTCGAAGAACAAACAGGCAGTGTTGTCTTATTGCATGAGATCGACTTCTGTGCTTCGTGTGCTGAATTGCAGTCCTCCAACCAAGAATATATCCGGCTCAGAAGGAGAGCTCTGTGCTAGAACTTTGCAGCTTAGAAAGTGTGGTGTCTTCAACTTCATTCTCCCAAG